ACGGTTGAAGTTCCAAGACGATTTCTTAAAAAATCAGAATTTACTACTATGGTCCGCCATATTGCATCCGCCATCTTGAATTTCGGAATTCTAATGTTAATTTCGTAATCAGTGAGTCCAAAAACCTTTATGTTAGAAGTTTTAAAATAATCCGTTGGAAAACAGTAAAATACGCTACATGCGCCATATTGAATCCGCCATTTTTGAAAAAACCTAGGGTGATGGAGCAAAACGGGACCTGGATTCGGATTCAGGGGCTCAAAATACATACCGGAAACCTACTCCGGTCCGAGTAAATTTTTGAAAATTTTTTTTTGTAGACCTGTGTAATCAATGGGGGGAGTCCGAAAAATATGCAAATTATATATTGTTTTAACTTTTTTTTTTTGACTTGTCAAACTGCTTTCCCACAATTTAAGCAAGTTATTGATCTTTTAATCGCATTATGTAACTGCAATATCGAACGACTAAGGGGGGCTGCGCCTCCCGCACTCTCATAAAAATTAACCTAACCCAACCTGTCGTTACATTAGCCATTAGTCATTGTTTATTAAAAAAATTATTAAGAAAAAAAGTTAAACACTTTAATAAATAATGACTGACACTTAATGTAACGATAGGTTGGGTTAGGTTAGTTTTGAAGGGAGAGCGGGGAGTACAGCCCCCACCTAGTCGTTCGATATTACAGTTACATAATGTGATTAAAAGATCAATGACTTGTTTAAATTGTGGGAGAGCAGCAACGTTTGACAAATAAAAAAACATTTTTTAAAAAGTTAAAATATATAACTTGCATATTTTTCGGACTCCCCCGATTGATTATTAATATTGGAGTCAAAATAAATATTTTTACCAAAAGAGCTGCAAAAAGATATCAAAATTCGAAAAAGTAAAGAAAAGTAAGAAAAGTAAAAAGTAAAGTAAGAAAACCTTATTGTACATAATTACCCGAAAAACGAAATTCTTCATACTAAATACGAATTCTTTATACGAATTCTTCATACGAATTCTTCATATTAAATACAAACGATTTAAAAGAATAGGTTTCCAACCGGAGTTTTTTTTCCGGTCAAGTACATACGAATCGCATGTACTCAACGCTTGACGTTCGACGCTTGACGCTCTTATGTAAAAGCACCTTAAATTACTTTACCCACTGAGTAGAATTTTTGAACGCAACTCTGAACGCAGCCATAGTGACATTATCGATAGTGAAAATGGCGTAGCTAAATAGTTCCAACCTAAAAATAAAGCATGTAGAAAGCATATTGAATAGTTGCAAATTGAAATGATATCAAATGCCGGTTGTTCTCCAATTTCTCTCTGTATATAGAGTTTAAAGGCATTATAGAGATCAAAGGCATTGTGCAGAAAATATAAAAAAGTTTTAAATAAATAGTTGATGTCACGAGCCAAAGTTTGAACGTGAAATAGGAATGTTGACTTCGTCAATAGTATGTAATGATGTAATCGCTAAATATAATGGCGACTAAATGAGTCTTAACATTATGTGCAACTAAACAATAATCTTAGCGATTTTTAACGTCCTTAGTCTTCCATCTAGGCTACGTTCTTCGCTATTGCTCATTGCATAATTTAATTGTTGCTCATTTACGGCGTATTTAATGTATTACAAGTGTGCTGAGTAAGTAATTAAAAAAATTTTTTATACACATGATTACACTTAATGTACTGTACTTTTAATTTGTGTGTTGAGGAAAAATTGAGAAGTTAAAAGCAACTACTTAGTAGACTAAATAGCAAAATGATACAGGTTTATTTTTTATGTTACATTTTTTATCTCTGTTTTTCTTTCTTTTTTTCCTTTTTCATTCATTTTCATTTTTTCAGCACTTATGTAACAATTATAAAATAATATAAACAATTAGATATTTTACTGCAATATTACTCTAATATTATTTTTACTTATGATATAAAATTATATATATATATATATATATATATAATAATTTAGATAGTTAATAGTTTGGTTTTTGTTCTACTAATTCTAATAATTTCAATTAGTAATTCTAATTGTTCAAGATTATTTTGTAACTTTTAATATAGTAAAACTTATATTAACATTATCTATAAATGTTAAAAATTATTTTTTTATTTGTTACCTATTATTTTACTTATATGAATAAAATAAGAAATAATGGTTTTCTAAAAACTTATTTTTATAATAAATTATTTTTGTCCTGTTACGTTTACTTTTAACATGGATAATTTTTCTTGCAGATATGTCAGAACACGTGGAATTGCAACATTTAGTTGATGCTGATGTGGAAAATAATACAACAAATAATAAAAAAGTATTTCCTATTCTATTATGCAAATCATGCCCTTATTTGGGTTTACTATTAGCAACACTCTCGTCTTTGTTCTTTTCATTATGCAGTGTAATTGTCAAGAGTTTAGTAGAAGTAAATCCTACAGAAATGGCAATATTTAGATTTGTAGGGGTATTATTGCCAGCTATACCAATTGTAATTTACAAAGGTGAACATCCTTTCCCAAAAGGACGTAGATTAATACTTATTTTAAGAAGTTTTATTGGTACAACAGGGCTCATGTTAAGTTTTTATGCATTCAGGCATATGCCATTGGCAGATGCCTCTGTTGTAGTGTTTTCTGTTCCTGTGTTTGTAGCAATATTCGCACGAATATTTTTGAAAGAACCTTGCGGGCTATTCAATGTTGTCACTGTGTGTCTGACACTGATCGGTGTGATATTAATAACACGACCACCATTAATTTTTGGTCATACTATAGAATCTCTCTCAGATAGTCACATTAAACCAGGGCATGCTGATTTATGGGGTGCTGTGGCTGCTTTCTCAGCTACTTTATTTGGTGCAAACGCATATGTCTTATTACGAGCATTGAAAGGTCTTCATTTCTCTGTTATAATGACAAATTTCGGTTCTTTTGCTCTAATACAAACTACACTTATATCATGGGCTATTGGTACATTATGTTTACCACGCTGTGGTACAGATAGAATTTTGGTTGTTGCGCTTGCACTATTTAGTTTTGCAGGTCAAATCTTACTGACCCTAGCTCTCCAGATTGAGCAAGCTGGTCCAGTAGCCATAGCAAGATCCACAGACATTGTCTTTGCTTTTTTCTGGCAAGTGTTGTTCTTTAATGAAATACCAAATCGATATTCTGTCGGAGGTGCAATATTGGTCACAAGTTCAGTTTTGTTAACAGGGTTGAGAAAATGGGCTCTTTCATTACCAGAAACATCTAGTATCAAAAAATCTCTTGGAATTTTAGTGATGTAAACAATAATCTTATTATTGAGAGAAATGAAGTGAAAAGGGACTAATTAAGATAGAACATGTATTATGAAAAAAAAAATATTGAAGAAGCATTTAGCCAAGTGAAAAACAAATATTCTAATAAATAAATATAACTTAAATATCTATTTTTAAATTTATGCAAAGTTATATGTATAAGGAAAGATTCAAGTTTATATTATTACAAACATTGATCTGATATGATTATAAGACAGTAATATTATTAATTATTGCTTTTTGATATGATTACAAAGCCATAATATTATCAATTATCGCATTTACATGTTTTTAAATTTAATGTTTTATCTAAAATGTATGATAAATCCAAGAAAAAGTTATATCACATTTAACTAAACAATTATTGCTAACAGAAACTATTGCATAATATAATGATATTAGCTAAATATCTAGATTATAATGTAATTCCTACATAATTCACAGACGCACACGTATATATATATATACACACACACACACATATATACACATATATATTTATTTATTTATATTTATATATATATATTTATTTATTTATTTATATATATATATTTATTTATTTATTTATTTATATAAAAATTATATTTATATAATAATCTCTAATATTTGAAAAAAAGTATGTGCATAAGGACAACAAATTCTATTCAATGTAAATTATATTTCTATTGAAAAGAAGATTTTATTTTTAATTTGCTTATTACAAATTTCAAGTTTCTATTTAGAAAAAAATTCATTAAATTACTTTGTAGAACTTTATATTTGAAAAATTACTCTTTCATTTATGTTTATAATTATTATTGCATTTACGTTTATTTCATTTATATTATTTACACACTTTTTTATTAAACTATATAATTGTGATATATATTACTAATCTTCATTAAACTATTAAACCTTAGAGAAATTATTCTATTTCTTGAGAAATAGAATAATTGAAAATTCTCCTTTGTTATAACAAGTTAAATTATTTATTCAATGCAAATGTATTTTTTAATCTATTAAAAATTACTGTGGCAAAAAATCTGTGGCAAACGAAAATATCTATTTCAAGTTATTGACAAAGTAAAAATATAATCATGGCAAACTACTCCTTGTTATATTTATGTATTTATTTATTCTAATTATAATCATATCAATCATTAACTTTGAAATAACAAAGTTATAAATTAATAGCGAAAAGTGATTATTTAACTTAAAAACATTTACTTGCTCTTATTGTAAATACTTTAATTTTTGTTGTATATATAAAGTATATAGAGTAGACTCCTAATTGATCAGTTCTTGCGCGACTAAACCCTAAGACGGATAAACAAATAGTCGATTAATTCGAAAACGCACATATGTTTCCCATCATCAATACATTTCAAAGCTATTATTTTGTAATAATAATTATATTCACATTTGTTTGGACTTGTTTTAAAATTAATGTATAATTAAAAAAAGGACAAAAACTGATGTTGAATTAGATACACACATGCAGAGTGTAACAACTTAAACAACCCAGGTAGAAATGCGTGATGATCACGTTTCATCATAATATGATGTTATATTGTTATTTCACCTTGATACCTTTTTAAAGATCATTATGTGATTAACATGAGCACAAGATGTACATAAATGATATACGAATATATCTAATTCATCAAGTTTTGTTATCATACTATTAGATGAGATTAGATATTAGATATCTTTCTGATCATTATCACATGAACGACATATGAGCAGCATATGCGCACGCATTTGTATACATTTTTGCAATCATGCACGTCAATATATGAGCGTGTGCTGAGCGCAACATGACATCATTTTTCTATCTGGGAATATAGTTAATAAAAACTGACTGAAGTGAGAGAAGTTATAAGAGATATTACAGGCCATTGTATTTATTTCTACAATAATTTAATTTTGTTTTCCCGCTGTATCCATAACTCCGAAAATCTAATTCGCCAAAAAATCACGAGAATATAACTTAAGTAGACACTAGTTAAAACATGTCCAAACAAGAGGAAATTACTGTATAAAACATTCATTATATACTGTATATACATATGATATGATGGAAAAATAAACATTGTAAATTATATTGTATTTACAGAGACATTTATAAATAAAGACACATGTAAAATTGTATAATGATATAAATACAAAGTATTTGATAATGAATGATATAATATTCATATGCAAGTAGACCAAATTAAGTAGGAAACTTCTATAACATCTTGCAGATTTTCCAACAGTTATTAAGGAATTGATTAAACAGTATTAGCATATGAATGCTTGGAAAGTGGTAGGATAAGTTTTGCATGCAAAACTTTATTCCAAATAGCTTATTAATATTATTTAGTTAATTCCTTAATAACTATTGTAAATTCTGCAGAATGGTACAGAAATTTCCTGTTAAATTTCGTGCGATTTTCTTATACATAAGAATTCTGTCATTAATTGTCAGGTACTTTGTGTGTAAGTATGTACGCATGTATACAGGGTGGCCCACGTAAAGTGTTACAAGCTAATAACTCTAAACATATTTGTCCTATTAAAAAGTTATTCATGAGAAAGTTTTATATATTCGAGGGGCCTTTCTAACTACGTAAACAAAAATTCACTTCCGTCTCCTCTTGAAGAGGGGCGGGGGGTAACTTCAAAGTTTCAAATGGGACCTCCTATACAATGTTACATATTTGGATTATACGAAAAAAAACCAAGTAAACTTTGAAACATTTCTTTGTGTAGAAAATGCTCCTATCAAAAGTTATAAACATTTAAACTTTTAGCCATTTCATTTATGATGAACTTCATTGACACAAAGTTGTGTTCGCGATACAACAAAAACGACCTTGAGAGTACATACTTGATGTCACATCTCAACCACTTACAATGAAAGAAGATTTAAAACAAAGAATACGTACAGCTTGTACTAAGGTGACCCCAGAAATGTTGTTTAGAGTTAGGCAAAGTTTTGTAAAAAGAATTAATAAGTGTTTAGATGTTAATGGTCAACAATTCGAGCATTTAATAAAATAAACAAAACTATGAATCTTATTTAATTTATCATTAATTTCAATGCACTTTACATTAAAGTTTAAATATTTATAACTTTTGATAGGAGCATTTTCCACACAAAGAAATGTTTCAGACAAAGTTTACTTGTTTTTTTCCCGTAGAATCCAAATATGTAACATTGTATAGGGGGTCCAATTTGAAATTTTGAAGTTACCCCTCGCCCCTCTTGAAGGGGGGACGAAAGTGGATTTTTGTTTACGTAGTTAGAAAGGCCCCTTAAATATATGAAACTTTCTCATGAACAACTTTTTGATAGGACAAATATGTT